TCTCTCTCTCTCTCTCTCTCTCTCTCTCTCTCTCTCTCTCTCCTTGTTAGCGGAATAAAAAAGATTGCAACATCGATAATGACCGTCTATAGCCTCAGTTTATGAAGCACAGTGCCTGGCATTCTTCGCTGAAAGTTGGCGGTCTCTCATTTATAACATTTTTTGGCATCGCTGAATGAAACTGAGTAGGCGATATTTCCTTTTATATAAAACGATTACTTAACGGAAAATGCTATATTGTTTATTCCAAAACTGCCTTTCTAATTTCTATTCTTTCGTTTCTGAACCCCTGAAGGACAACAGACTGAGAAATATGCAGACAAAATTCTTGGACATTTGCAGGTCACTGGGATTTGTTCTATCGATTTCAAACCCGCCCCCCTCCCACTTTTCTTCCCCCTCCCAAGTACTCCCCATTCCTTCTCTCCTTGCTTCCCCCAACCTTCCCTCCCCCAACCTTCCCTCATGCCCCCCTCCCACTCCATCCACAACTGCAAATAACTCAGTGATAACAGATTTTTTTCCACCAACTGCAGGAGATAGTGCTAATCTTTTAATAAAAGATCCCATTACAATGGGATCTGTCTGGACAGACTATAATAGATCCAGAAATACAGCCGTGCTAATATTAGAAGACAGTTGTTTGGGTGCCTCTCAGACGGGCCGAATCCTGCTTTGAAAGTGGGCATGAATCACAAAGACCCGCGGCCGCCGCACCTGCACTCGGGCCCATTCAGTGCAACAGACTGGTAAAAACGAGTGACCTCGCCGCTGCATTTCGCTTTATAATTATCATCGTGAGGACTTGAGAGGAGGGGGTGGGGGCAGACTGGCTTTTTACTTCAGACAGCTTTGGAGGCTCCACATCCTTCTTAATCTTTCCAGATTCGGTGCCACTCTTTGCCTGCACCTCTCCTTCAATCTCTCCCCCCCCCCCTCCTTCCTTCCCTTCCTTCCTCTCCCTCCTCTCTTCCTTCTCTTCATTTCCCCTCCCTCTTTTCCTGGCTCTTTCCCCTCTTCTCTCTCTTCCCCTCTCCCTCCCCTCTCCCTTCCCTCTCCCCTTTCCTGTCGTCTTCTTTCCCCCTTCCCTCCAATCCAGCTAGCATTAATGCAGGGTTGTTTAGTGCCCTCTAATGGCAGATGACATTAACAATTAATTACAAAATACCCCTTATTCAGGAGCCTGCCGATACGTGGCACATTTCCAAAGCTGAATTTCTTTATTCAAGAGATAGATTTGGTTCTTATGTGGTAATGTACTGGGAAAAGTTTGTTTTTCCCTTCAACCCTGTTCCCAAGGGACGAGAGAAAGCTCAGTTGGGGGAGTTTGGGGGTGGGGTGGTGAAGAAGGTTAAAGGATGAAAACTTTAGACACTATTTCCTATTTTCCACAGGACTTTTATTTCCTAATGGAAATAGAAAGTTAAACTTCCTTTTTCTGATTAACAATCCAAGTAAAGCAATGGAATACGAAATCCTGTAGGTACACGCAAAGGATCTGAGAAGGAAGGGTGTTTTTTTCCCCCTCCAGTGAATTTGGGGGTTGGGAATACAGGTACCTGTGTGAATTTATATAGGTCAAAGATCATTAAATACACTTCCTGGTCCTGTATCTTGTCTAGCCTATTGCAATCTTCCAATTGCATTTTCCACATTCTTCATCTTATTACTGTATATACATACATATGTACATACATATGTTAAATAGTAGTAAGATATCCATGTCCAGTTGTGGCTAATGATATGTACCTAGTTACACCTACATGAATATGTTATGAATAAATATTTATAGGTGTATTTTTACTATCTATGCACATCTATTTTCTATCTAATTTAGAATGGAAGCCTCTAAAGACTTAAGGGTCTACCCCTTCCTCTTATTTAGTAAATTCATTGTGATGAAAAGCACATAGTAAGTGCTTAAGAATTATTTTTAATGATGTTCAGTACTGACGAGATCTAATATCCTTTAAGAGACTACTAGATTTAACTTAATTTACATTTGTGCACATAACATATGAGAAGCAGAAGGGCATAGTGTATATAAGACTGCCTCTGACAAATTCTTACTGTGTGACTATGGACAAATCACTTAACCTCTGACTTTCCCAGGCAATGAATGCTCTGAAACTAGAAGTTAGAGACTTATAAGTTACAGATCTGCATAGATGGAGGAAATTTCCATGCCATACTAGATATATACTTTACACGCACACACACACACACACACACGTATATATGGATATATTCATATGCCAGTTTTCTGAGACTGTAAGTTGCAGAACTGTTGCTGATTTCATTAGTAGAGATATTTTTTGCACAGACTTTTCTACCCCCAATGACTTTAGCTCTGGTCTCCTCTCCCACCTTTCCATTCCTAAATACATTGTTCTGAGTAGTGTATATCTCTCTATATATGCTTTATAGATTCTTACATATACTCCTAATTCTTCAAGTCTATATAAAATGCAAAAAAAGAGTTGGTGATCTGAGTAATTGACATACAAAATTACATGGATATTTTTGTCATGTTTGTTTATTATGTTTGATGTACCCATATATCTGTCTCACTTTGGGTATATGGATGAAGCCTGTATCATAGAGATATATGAATTCAAAGAATCTAGACCAGTTTCTTCATAATGCCAATATAATTGGATGCAAAGAAATAACATAGCCTCCTCATTTTCTTTTTGTCTAGATAATGCCAAATGTCCCATTTGATCAGTTGATCAAGTAGACCAAACTGACCATTTGTTTTGGCAGCACAGAGGCACAATCTAATTGTCTTTGTTGGACCTGGGGGGGGGCAGGGGTGTGAACATAATAACTTTTCTTATGAAAACACTATTGCTTATAGGAATACTCTGACACCAGTGGCTGACCCAACAAAAAAAAATTACTTCTCACTCCAGAGAGGGTGCAGGTCAGGGTTGAAGTTACTGGCAAGCACAGTGTGGAAAACACAAATTCTATGTTGCTTTTGCCCTTGTGAACAAGCAACTTGGTATTTACTTTGTAATACAGACTCATCCTGTTTTTCAGCTGCACCTTGGTTAGTATTGATCTGTTTGGTAAAATGTCTATTGTTATTCTCCATAGTAAAATAGTAATGAATACTGTCATTGTATTCTCTGCTCTCTGGCCATATTCCTAGGAATGAGTCACAGGTCAATACTTGTTCCATATGTGCGTCCTCTGTGCATCATCAGAAGATCAATCCAATTGCAGTGGAGTAGAATTGTATCACACCTGTTCGGTGACATCACAGAGGAACAGCTGCTGTTTCTTGTATTATTTTATCTCTCTTAAGTGTTAAATATTGGGTTTACATATGCCAAAATGTCAGGGTCACATTTTAAAATGAAAATGCCTTCTTCCCTTTATTTGTGCGCTTCCATTTTCAACTTTGTTCCCCTTCAGCTTTGCCAAAAAGTAAATATAAATTAACAGAAGGCACAATATGTCTACTTTGTAGCTAAGTTTCTGAGCAACACAAAAACTCTGCTGGTCTTTATTGTCGGCTTCCAAAGATACCTTCTTCATAAAGTTTATAAATTATAAATATTACAGTTTAGCAAATGGTTTAATGAAAATTCTAAAACTCCAATATAAATAATTATTTGAAGGGAGGACTTACCTGGCTAAATTTTAGCTCCTCAGATAAGGTTTTTTTTTTGTTTTTACTCTGTCTCTCTCTCTCTGTATGTGTGTGTATGTATCCATAGAAAGTATTTATCTTTTGCCTTAAAAATGAAATGTTAGACAATTTTGACCATAGGTGATTTATAAACTGGGGGCAGCTAGGTGGTGCTGTGGATAGAATGCCAGGCATGAAGTCAGGAAGAGTC